TTTTCTTTCTTGATCCACCTCATTTTTAAATAAAAGCCTGTTGCTTGCCCCTTCATATGCATGGAGGATGCCAGGAACTGTGAGGCTTATTTTTTATGAAGGTGATTTTTCTCTTTCACAGACTGAACAGCCTTCATTTTATGCTCTAAACTCTTATCCCAGTAAGAGATACAGGTATAAAATTTACTTTAAAACCAAAGAACCATTTGGAGGCAGAATGAATCAGACACTCTAAAATCTCTGAAACAGAGATAGTTTTGAGATGAAATAAGTAGCAAAAACTCTCCTCCAATTTGTGCTGTAATTCCTGCCATCAGGTCTCTATCATCCTTCCCTACCCACTTTGGCAAGCCTATCTTTTCAAAGACTATGCTTGTTTTTTCTTTGCCATAAAGTGTTTTCCTTTATGCATAAATAACGATAGAATCTAAAGGGTCAAGTCATGTCACTTATCTTTATGCACGGAGCCAGAGTCCTAGAGAAAACAAACATTGTGCCATGATTAAAGACAGAGCCCACTCAAAAGCAGCAAGCAGAAGGGAGCATACAAGTCCCCACCATGGAGAGATGAGCTCTAGAGGCAGTTGGGAAGCCAGGAGGAGTACAGGCCTCTTCCTCTGTGTGTAAATTGGTGTTCCCAGGATGCCAACATACACAGGCATGTCGGGACTCTGTAAGGAAATGTCTTGTGACCTATGGAAACGGGACAGTGGATTCATGGGGGCGGTTTCCCAACCCTCTATCAAGGGGAGAAGACAGAACTATAACTTTCCTCTCTTGGACAGAAAACAAAGGAAGACATTTACATTCAAACACAGCAGTTCCTTTCCTTATTATAAAAGAGCTTTCTAGGCTTTGTTTTGATTTCATTAAGATTATTCCTAAACATTACTTCTAAGGCCCATCCAGGTCTAGAATTCTTACTTTCTAAAGGCAAGTATCCAGGTAATTTGAGACTGACCACATTAACTTCCTATGGTCTCATTTTTTTCAAGGAAAAATACTTGAATCAGTTTTCTTTTTCCAGTTTAAATGCCTAAAAACTCACAATTCAAAATTAGAATTATATGTACTTTGTTTCATCAAGGTAAAGGTTGAGAGTATCTTTGATGTGTGCAATCTCTCATGGCTGAGGCAAAAAGTACTACTTGTGAAGATCAACCTTAAAGTTATTAATATCTTTTCTGTTCAGGTATTTTCCCACTTTTATTTCTTTTTGTCTGAGAAGTGAATGCATTATTATCATAGCAACAGAATAAAATTTTCTTATATTGGGTTGAAGATAGATCATATTTCTACCCACATATATACTTTTAAGAAAATGAAGGCAAAAAAATAGTTAATCTAACTATTAAATTAGACAACATACTCATAGGAAAGAATTTATAGTCTGTATTACTTTGTAAAGCAGTTCTTTTAAAATGATTGTTGGATATTCATACTATAGTTTAAGACATGTTTTAGAATGAGATTTTAGTTTTGATAAATGAGTAATAGGAAGAGAGACCGCCCAAGAAAGAAATGAAAGAAATAAATCAGGACTTTTAATTTGAAATTCCCAAAGAACAGACAGAAACCGATGAAGACAAAAGAAATTCTAGTGACTTCAAATGTTAAACAAAGCTGACCTCATGTTTACTATTTCTCTAGTAATCACATGGTGACAGATATGCAGGAAGGACTCAAGAGAAAAGAGAGGCAAAAAGAAATAAAACAAAGTCAGTTACGCGGGCACTTCGAAAAGTTTACAAACCTTTGCGCTTGAGTATGTCACACACAACTTTTGAAATTATGTATAGTTGAAAATATACTAAACATATCCCATCTCACCAACAATCAACACACCCCACACCAAATGCAGATATTTTTGCACACACCACACACGTACATTCATACACACAGTGAACACACAAGTTTTGAAGTAATTTGTAATTGGCATAACTGAATGCACGCTATACCACACACACACACACACACACACACACACACACATGCACCAGGGATTGAAAGGAGTGGGAGGAGCCTCAGAGCAAGCCCTTGCAGGTCAAAGACATGAGCAGCAGCCATAGTTTTTTCCTTGTAAGCACTATACTTCTTCTTTATCCCACTTGTTGATGGAAAAACTGCCTACCATTTCCTTAGGCGTGAAAGACACAGTTTTCTCTTCCTGATACTGTATCTGACTAGAGTCTGACTTCAGGCGCTGCCTCTTGTGGTATTTGTGTAGTGTCTCCCCTAAAAAGTACTGTTGTTATAGAAGCCACATTAAAAATTTCTAGAGATGAACAGAAGAGAATGCTTAAAACTTTGTATTCAGATTTCTTTTCTCTGTAAAGTTATTCACAATTTACATCCCCACAAGTCATACAGTAAGGTTATTAATTTTTCATTAAATCAATAAATATTTATTGAGCATCTTCTTTGAGCCAGACATATTGCTAGGTAATTGAGAGACATCAAGGAACAAGGTAATCAAAAATCCCTGCCCACTGAGTTTATATGGCAGAGTATCGTGGAGGCAGACAATGAACATAGCAAGTAAGTTTTATGTATATTGGAAGGTGATAAATTCTATGGAGTAAGGAAAAAGTAGGACAATGAAGAAGGATTGAGCACAGTGGGTGTGTGTTGGAGAATAGTCAGGGGAACAAACAACATATCTTACCAGGCAGTCAGGGAAGGTCTGGATGGGAGGGTGACATGGGACAAAGGCTTAAAAAGGGGTGAGGTAGGTCTGGAAGCCAATTCCAGTGAGGAATCGAATTGCAAAGTACTTGCATTGGGGTCTGTTGAGTAAGTCTGAGGAATTCCTTAGAGGCTGTGTGTCTGGGTGGAGGGAAGGGAAAGTGCTGTAGGTGAGGAGGTCAGTGGTCACGGGGGCCTTCATGGACCACGGAGTAGACTGTGGCTGCTACCACGTGACATGAGGGAACCACGGTGGGGTTTCAAGTGGATCACAAATGCAGGACTCTGGCAGCAGCACCGAGAATAGATTGGAGCCTGCAGAGGTGGAAGAGAAGATTTGTTGGGAGGCTGTTAAAATAAATGAGAGGTGATCAGAAAGGTGGTTAGGTAGCAGGGAAAGAAGTTGAAGCAAAAACAGTCTTTGTTAAAAACCCAAAACAATGACTACAACAAAAAACAATCACAACAAAAACCCCCAGTTGGTTCAGACTGGTAAATCCCACATGGATGTGGAGTGAAGTTGTCGTTTTTCACTTTTGGTAATGTTAGGGTCATCATATTTTGACACTGCTTTTTTTTTTCTTTTTTCTTTTGTACTGGAGTTTGAACTCACAACCTTGCACTTGCCAGGCAGGCACTTAGACCGCTGAGCTAAATCCCTGGCCCTTGACACTGCTTCTTAGTGATGCAAATTAATAATGAACTGTCATAAGAAAGAACAAACAAGAAAAAATGCTAAACAGAGCAAAAACAATTAAAAGGAAGAAGGGAGAGAAAAATGTTGAAAGAGGAAAAAAAAAACCCTAAAAGACAAGAAAGAGAAAAACCCAAGCTCCCAAGAAACCCAAAGAAGGAAAGATAAAATAGTATAAAATAGAAAAACCAAAAAACAGACTGTGCCAAAGAAAAAATTCTTGTGCCACTACATGAGCCATTTCCTTCCAAGATTTGCCGTCTGGGATCCAGCGGACACAATTATGTATGTCCAACTTTAGGGCCTGTGGGTTTTTGAGCCAGCTCCTCCGCTCGTTCCCCCCAGGATGTGGTTACCGTCTCAGCCAAGGCCTGTCCTTGTTCCTGGTGGTGGATGGGGACTGTGATCCAGCCTCAGCTCTCTGCTGGACTTAGCGCACAAGGTGAGGGTTGGAGTGGGTGGCTGGGCTTAAGGTCTGCAATAGTGGCGCTTGGTTGCTCTCAGTCCCTGGCATTGTCCTTGTGCAGGATCAGATGGTCGGTTACTACTTGCCTCTGCTGCCTCATGCCATAGGGAAGCAAATTATAGAGCCATCTTGGAGCAGGTCAGAGGGTGCTGGGCTTACAGCACAGGGCAGATTGCTCCAGTACTAACCCGTTTTGGACTTGCACAAAGAAAGGTCTTCATGGAGAAATAAGCTCTACTTTTTGTAGTGAGAAAAGTTAAATTCTTCAATTGTAATGACAGTTGTGTTTTCTGCTTAAAAAAATAAGACATTTACATGATCATGTATAATGTTTGGTCGTATTTAAGAATAGAAAAAAATCAATATTTTTTTTACAACGGATCATCCTATTGTTAAGTGAAAAATGTTATAGGAGAAGGAAATAAACTAAAATTAGAGAGTTTATTGAGCGCTGGATTTGAGTTATTTGGTCTTGCATTAATTCCTGGCTCAGCTTTTTATAGAATTTCAAGCAAGTGCTTTAATCTCTTGAAACCGCTTTCTTTAATTAGAAAAAGCTATAGTATTTGCTCTAATACTCTGGGTCCTTTTGAGATTTACAGGCTAATCCGTATAAACTTTTCCCCCTCCCTAAAAACAACACCAAAATTCCCCACTTCCCAGGTCACAGTGCACATGCAAGGCTCAAGCCAGTTGACCCTCCCTTCTCTGTTCCCCGCAATCAGCTGATTCAACGTTTCTCTGCTGGAGGCGCTGATTTTGGGGAATGGCCAGAGGTGACGTTTCCTGGGTTTCACTGCCATCTAGTGGCCAAGCTTCATTAGTGGTCTAGTGCTGAGTCTAAGTGACACATTTTTGACCTGAGAATCAAGGTCAAGGCAGCAGAGGGAACTCTTCACAGCAAAGCTCCTCAGGAAAACAGAGGACAGTCTAGTTGACTCTGTTGCTACAATGAGATTTAAAAAATGTTACCTCTTGTGAGTCAGAATTGTTCAATACGTTTCAAAGCCACATCTTTTACAATGTACACATACGATTGGTAAATCTGTGTTATGTGGTTACTATCACCTGACCCAGGACCAAATTAGCGCTCAGAAATGTGCTGCTTTCCTGGCTCGAGACAGTCATCTTTGTTTTGCAGAACCAACAGAGAACATCTAGAAAGCATGCTCTGCCCTGTAGTTTCTTTTCTTTTTTTTTTTAATTTTATGGAAAAAGGCAAAACAAAATTTCATAATAAAATAACAGGAGAACAGCAGCAGTTAATACATTTTATATTGCGCTGTGGCTTCAATAACCACTGGATGCACTCTTTTGAATGCAACTCATACTTTCTCCATCAAGCCATGAAGGTACGTTTAATGTATTGTAGAACAAATTTCGCATTTCTCTTTAGCTCTTCCCTGCTTCCCGCCTCCCTGAACCCCTTTTAGCTGGCATCTACCTGAATGCTCAGCTGGGCCACATTTTTAGACTAACCTGGAGTGAAGCAGGGTAGCCCTTGGAGGTCTGAGGGTGACCCTCTGCACCCCTCTATTACTCTAAGTGTGACCCCCATCCTAACTCCGAGACACTCCTCTCCTTCCTTTCCTCTTCTCTGGGTAGAATTTTGCCTCAGATCCTTAGTGGCAGGAATCATAAATATGGGCAAAATTCTTTCATTTAACAGAAATTTCAAGGCATGAGCAACCTCCTAATCTCTGTCCGTCTTCTGGACAGACATTCCATATCGACATGATGAAATTTCTAGCTCTTGACTTCTGTATTCTCTACCTTCTTTGCTGCCCACCCAGAGGTGCCTCTGTGGTGGATTTAAAACTAATAGCTGACTTAAACAGATGAACTGAATAAGCATGGTGCTGAGTGTAGATGGCCCACCTGAAGATTTTTGTGAACATAAAAAAAAAGACCTGGAGAGGAAGAGCATTGGTGTTTGGTGCTGTTGGTTCTCCTGTTGCTGTGGATTGTCCTGAAGGAGCTTCCCAGAAATGAACTTTGCTTTTCTCTTCATCAGAGAAGCTCGGGACCTTGCTGTGTCTGAGAACGGCTGTGGTTCACTTTGGGGGAGCTCTGGTATTTACTTTGAGCATCATTTCCTGGCTCTAGAGGGAAAGATGGCGTGCTTTACAATCTTTAAGAGAATCTTGTCATGCTGGTTTCCTGATGTAAGACTGATTGTTCTCATTGTTGGAAGAGCTTGGGATTTTGTTGTCACTGAGGATGGCTGTAGTACTTTTCAGAGGAGCTCTGGTCCTTACGTTGGGTGTTGCTTCCTGGCTCCAGTGCAGACTCCTCAGCCTATTGGCACAGATCCATCACCCCGCGGGCATAGAGCTGACCTTGGGGCCTTCCCAGCACAGATCCATGAAGCAGACTGGCATGAATCAGTGTGGTGGGCTCTAGGCCTCCAGTTGGACTCCTGGGAGACATTGTCATGTGCTCCAGGTTTTCAGCTAGACTCAGGCAGGATTTTTGCCATGGGACCTAGGCCCTTGACTGGGTTCTCTAGATTTTTAATGTGTGGACTAATTTCCTGTATGTTCTTTGTATTTGACTTGACTCCTTGGGTGGTCATTATAAATACTACTATAAATTATGTACCCTGTGCGTAATTATTTACCTTGCAATCCATGACTACAATAGCCTCCAAACCTGGTCCAGTTTCTTTTGAGTCTATCTCAGTTCAGAGAATTAATTTAAGGTCAGCTTCTAAGTCGTTCCTCAAGTTGCCCTGAGGGAATCATCAAACCTTAGTCTAAGACTTGAATGTGGATTTAAATCTCTCATTAATATTATCTCACTATGAGTCTATAATGCATCAGATTTTTAAAATGGTCATTTAATGTGATGAAATAATTATGACATGAGTGGATTATTTTAATTGCTCTGTATTTTCTTGGTTCTTCTGTTGGAAGAAATGTCCATGCTATAGGTAAGTTTCTTATCAAGTTTATCTGAATTTTTAATTTTCCAAAGATTTATGCCAGAGTTCTATAAAAATAAATTTCAAACACTGGGAAAACATTTCCTGTTCCATACAAACAAATCCAGCTCTTTTCCTAGCTTTCTCTGTTGTTTCCTGAACCTATTTGCTAGTTTTCTCTTCTCTTCCTTTTCCAAACCATCATGAATTCACTGCTATAGATATGTAGGAAAGAGGAGTCTGGCTGGAAAGTAGTGATTTCTTCAGACACTGAGGTCTTCCAGGAGGGCACATTTCTTAGTAAATGAGCTCATTGTTATTTTTACTAAGTTATAGAGATAATTTAACTTCCTTATCATTCAAGACATTCTTCGAGGTATTGCAAAAGTTCTTGATATTTAATATTATCTATAATCTGATACTCACGTTTGTCTTCCTAATTCCTTATTAAGATACTAATTCTTTGGGGGATTGTCATACTAGAGACATAGTGTTAAGAGGCGAAAGCAAGCCTGAATCCTGGAATCAGTGCCTCTGCTTTGATTCCTAATGCTGTCACTTACCGGCATTAGGTACAATTATGTAATCCATTCAGTGACTGAGGTTTATCCTTTTTTTTTAGGCAAAATAGCAGGCCCTCAATACAAATACCTCGTTTTCTTTCTCCATTCATCTATTGATGGATATTTGGGATGTTTCCAAGATTTAGCTGTGATAGTGTGTGCTGCTATGATCATGGGTAAGCGTATATCAGTGTTGTATGATGATTTTAACTCTTTTGGGTAAACCGGACACCGAGTTTAACTGTCACATTGTTTCTCTTGTGTGAGGAACCTAAAGAGTAAACAAGGAGAATGAAGGAGGATAGTGGGAAGTGGGAGGAGCATGTTCCAGTGGGAAGTGGAATGAGGGAGGGGGAAGAAGGAAGGGAAAAAGAAAAAAGAAGAAGGAAAAATGTAAATCAAGCTTTTGTAACTGGGCAAGGGAAGAAGAGCTGATAGAAGGGACAGAGAATGGGGTGGTGAATGAGAAGCAAGATTGCGCACAGGTACAAGTTCCCTGTGGTGCACGCCATCAATATTTATGACAAATATGTACTAATGAGAAAGATTTAAAGTAATTACATAGCCTGATTTCTTCATTCACAGAATTATAATATCGCGTCCCCAAGACAGCATGGGTGTTGGGTGAGCCCGTCAACACAAATGAGGCAGGAACCAGCGAACCTGTAACAAGTGTGACTCCCCAGCATGCTGTCCCTGTGTGCTTCCTGAACTGGTGTGATCTCCTTCCCCAGCCTGGTATTCACTCCCATGGCCTCTCCTCCTCTCAGATGATCCAGTGTTTGCCATTCTCCCAGGCTCAGGGAAGCCTTGCCTGTCATTGCAGTGTGTGGACATCCTCCTCCCTGAATTCACCTGCTGTGTCAGCCAGCGATTAAGCACACACTGCTCTGTGTTTTGCTTACATTTTCATGTTGTATATTCTTTACCCCCAATAGATTATAATTCCTACAAGTAAGGGACTGCTTCTTCTATGCTTCATATAACCTGGAGATATCAAGAAATAAATATTAAGTATTTTTGAACAAATAAATAGAGTACCTTAGCCAAGGTTACAATAAGTAAGACAAGGATAGCTTTTATAAACAATCAGTGTGTTCTATGCAGGATCATGTAGTAGAATATATGTTACTCTTGCGCATTGTTTGATAGTTTACAATTTGAAAAACTAGTTCTCTGTAAGTACTTTCAGTAGTTACATCAGTACTCACATTTAGAAATAATGGGGCAGGGCAATCATATGACATATTATTCTGCAGCTTGCATTTATTCCTCAAAGACATGTATAAAAACTTTTCTACATTAGTACACAGACCTTTTCTATACTAGCACCTATAGTAGTAAATAGATTTCCATTTTACCTACAGCACAGCTTTCTTCTATTATGAATGCATTATTGCTTATTTTTAAAGTGCATGAAATCAAATCATAGTTTTCCTACATGTACTAATGGATGTCCATACGTACTTAAGAAAAATGCCCAAGTACATAAAAAATTTTGAAAGATGTATTACATTTTTAATTTTTAGTAAAGGAAATCATTTATCTTTCATTAGATTAAAAATCAACAATGTGTCTACATTTTCTTCTTCTTCTTCTTCTTCTTCTTCTTCTTCTTCTTCTTCTTCTTCTTCTTCTTCTTCTTCTTCTTCTTCCTCTTCTTTTTTGGTACCAGAGATGGAACTCACAACCTCACACTTGCCAGGCAGGCATTTGAATTTTTGTTTTTACAACTTGTTTTTTGTTAGTTTGTTTTACCAGGAATTGAACTCATGAGGTCATGCTTGCCAGACAAGAGCTGTGCTGCTGAGCTGTATCCCTAGCTCTGTATTTTCCTCTTAATATGAAAAACAAAGGGCAGTTCGTTGCTTTGACATATTTTAAATTCACCAGCAGATGTTGGAAGGAATTCAGAACATCCAGGGCTGGAGACATTGGCATATAGAAAAATAGTCCATAAGAGAAGCAAGAGGAAGGGATTCACATCTCCTAACCTTTGCGAAACAGTTGAAAGGCTTAGAGAGAAGACCCACGTCAGGCACACTATCTCACTTAAGAAAGGGATTAGAATGGGCTGGAGATTTAGTTCAGTGATGCAGATGTGCCTGGCAAGCATGAGGTCCTGAGTTCAATTCCCATGACGCCTCCCCAAAAAAAAGAAAAAGAAAGGGATTCAAGTCAAACTCTGCCTCAAGTGGGAGATGCAGTTTGTTTGAACAGGCACAGACCTAAGGATCTAGCTCTACCTAGAAGACCTCAGAGCCTTCCGTTTCTCAGTGGCCTGACTCAACAGCTACCGAAGGACCCAGCTCTTCCACCGAAGACTTGGGTTCCTTAAATAGACTTCAATGCTCCTTCATGCTGAAACCCTATACCTGGTTCCTCGTCCTCACAGAATTATTGATTTTATCTCCAACTGTGTATAATGGAGGATCCATTCAGCTGCTATTGCTTTCCTTAGTAGACACTGCAACAAGAGCAGGGAGATCTAGTGTGTTTAGATCAAACATATCTACCTCCAGGTCAGCTCTACTATTTGCAGATTCTGTGATTTAGCACAACTTGCCTAGTCTTGTCTTATCTGTAACACAAGATAATCATACTTTAAGTTCATGGCTCCTGTGAGAATCCAGTCTGACCCAGAGAGGGCAGGCGAAAAAAGTAAGTTTTCTCCTCTAAACCACAAATAATGTTTCTTTGCAAAAGATGATTGTGAAAAATTGGCTTCAACTTTTTGTCTTGGGGAAGATGAGCATTTTCTCTTAAAGTAGTGTTATACTTATAGCTCTTGAGGGTGGAAATACTTTTTGCAGTCTTGGCTTTCCTTCAGTAAATCAGTCTTTTGCCGTGGTTGGGCTCAAACCCAGGCCTATGTGTATGCCAGGCAAGTGGTCCAGCCCTGAGCTACAGCCTCAGCCTGGTTAGTCTTTTGTACAACAACACTTAAGAATTGATTAGCATTCTTGCTTTGTAGTCCAAAAACATAAGGGAACTTACTTAGCTAAGCTTTCTTGAATTTGCCCAAGAAGTAAGCCCAAACTCCTTCAAGAAAAATTTGGTGTCTTCCTGGTTTCCCATTCCAGGACTGTAAATAAGTTTAAAAAGCAATGACAACACATAAAATCATGCATCGGGACCTTAAAGATAACAGCATCTTGCGTCTGTAAAAGTCTTACAATATATAAAAACCTTAAACATGAAAAATATTGCTATTAATCTTTCCAATGCTTGCCCTCCCGAGCCAACCCTTTAAAGTTGTTTTGTCAATGTGGATCTAAAGCTCACAAGGTCATCTAACTTGGTGGGAGACACACATTCCAAGTAATGAAGGCCAGGAGGCAAGAATAAATCATCAGAGTCCAACTCATACATTTTTCACTACTTTTTGAATTGCCTTCCATAGGTGAAATGTGTATTTCTATATTACCAACCAATGCTAAGTTTTTCTCAAAGCCAATGGCTTTAATTGTGTCTTCCTACAAGGTAGACAGATGAGATACAAATGATGTGGAGCAAGGTGGGAGGTTTTAAAGACAAAGAGGAAGAGGTCTGTAACTGTTATTTCTATTTCTACTCTTCCTATTACTTCTACCAGTAACTACCATGTGTTGAAAGCTCTTCCTTTGCCACTTTCTTAACATCATCTTTAATTCTGTCAACATCCTGAAAAGGAACTTTTGTTGTTTTGGTTTTGGGTGTTTTTTTCTTTGTAAAAGAGGAAACTAAAACATAGAAGTTTTAGACAACTTGCCAGAGAAACTAAATGCTATTGCCAGAATTTAAACCTAAGCTTTAGAGCCTGGTGGATGCTCGTACTAACACTTTTACCTCTAGTCTGGGCTTCTCAGTGGGAACCGTTGGCCAGAGGAGTTTAGGAACAGCTGGTGAGTGGGGCAGACAAGTCCACCTGGCATGGAGGACCCTGTCCTTCACAGCTGAGGTTATCTAAACTACAAGCTTTCACAATACGAGGTAGACGCCAGCAGACTTGGAGCCTACAAAGGTGCAGATGGGACGAGTGGGAAGATACTGAGGGTCAGTGGAAAAGAAAAGAGCCGGCCCTGACACTGAGGGGTTTCCTGGAACACCTCTCAAGGCTAAAGCAATGTGAGCACCTGACAACACCTCTCAAGACTAAAGCAATACACTCAGGAATACGGAATAAGTGTAAACACGTACAAGAAACATAAACAGTATCTATTAAAAATAAAAGCCTAGACTGAGGGTAAAAGTATAGCACAGGAGTAGAGTTTGCTAGATACATGAAGCCTTTTTTATAAACCATAGTGTGCAGGGAGGGTGGGGTGAGACAAGTTAAATTTAACAGTATTTAATTGAACAAACAGCAGTTTCCTTTCTTGCCCTCTTTCATGGTACTAGAGACTGAACTCAGGACCTTGGATCTGCCACTGAGCGACACTCCCAGACATTCATTCATTCATTCATTCATTCACTCACTCATTCATTCATTTATCTAGAGACATGTTGTGGTTGATACACTGTGTCAACTTGAGAGGTCGAGAAGCTTAACTGAGTGACTCAGCGGCCCTACCTCCTGGGGTGTAGAGAACAACAGTTATCCTTCTAGGATATTGTTCACTGTGTCAATTTGAGAAGATCTGAACTTTAAGTGATTGGAGCAGAGGGAGAGTCCCTAGTTTGCAACATCTTCAACCTGGGCAAGAGGAGGGCAGCAGATGGTGTGAGTGTTGCCCCCGCCCCAGGGTAGCAGCCTGCATACAATAAAAGGCATATGAGGAGGGACTGATTGCTACTTCTTCAGAGGAGCTCCTCTTTGCCTTCCGCTTGGACACTGGCTCCTGGTTTCTGGCTTCTGGTACATACTGTTTGGCTTCTATATGGGACTCTTCAGCCTTCCATCACAGATTCTTCAGTGTTCCATCACAGACCCATCAGCCTCCTGATACGGACTTGCACGGGACACTGCAGTAAGCTCCAGCTTTTGAGCTGGACCCATCAAACTCTAGTGTGCAGACACCCCCCCCCCTGCACGCTCCCTCATTGGGCTTTGTGGCTGATCACTGTAAGCCAATCTTGTAATTTCTTACACATTTTTATCTTGTGTTATATCTGTTTCTCTAGTAAACCCTGACCGATTCAAGACATGTTTTCACTAAGTTGGCTAGGCTTGCCTTCAACTGTCAGTTCTCCTGCCTCAGGCTCCTGAGTAGATGAGATTACCATGTCTTGTTAGAAAAATTTCTTTATTGAGAACTGTTAGAACCAAAACATGCTCAGAGAAACTCTGGTTTTGAAGAGGTTAGGTAGACTCTATGGCCAGAAGATGGAAAGTAAGTGCAGAGACAGCTTGGATGATTACATACCGTTCATTTGAACGTGGTTTGAATAGCTGGTTGCCTGTCACACCCTGAAGCTTGGTTAGTATTACTGAGATTCAGAAACTCATTCTGACAAAAGTGTATTTGTAACTGGGTTTTTAGTTAGTTTGTCTGCTGCATTAGATTGCAGCTCATTAAGTAAGGAGTCATGTGTAAAGATATCTTCAAGCCAAATTTAATTTAACAGTTCAAACCTCAAAAATAATTGAGCATTCTCTGGCTATACATGATTGATACTTTTAAATCAATTACCAATTTATCTGTGTTATTCTTTTCCTTTCTATGTTAGGTTGATTAAAATATGCAATCCTAGATTTACCCCTATTTCTTCCCTATAGCCATTCCAGAGCAAAGAAAGCACTTCCCTAAATCATCCAACACAGCCTTGATTCTGTAATATGCCTTCTCTCTGAAACTTGCTAAGAGTTCCATTATATGCTTTCTCTCTAGATGCAACAAACAGTACATACAACATGTTTGTGGGGATGTTATGAATTAGCTGGAGTACATTGAAACTAAAGTATGTGGTATGGTTCAGGAAACTTGTATTTTGGCTTAAAATTCTCTCAAGATGACAAAAAAAAATCAGAAATGTATGTCTTCAGTTTAGATCTCACTGCTAGAGGCCAGACTCTAAGACATACAATGATGAATTCAGTATCTCTTCCTCACTGTTTACCATAGCATTTCTCAAATGTTAGATAGCAGCCTTTTCTTTATAAATTACTCAAGGCCAGACATTTTGTTATAGCAACAACAATTGAATTAATATAGGATCAAGCTTCATTTCTGATACACAAGCAGTGAATTGTATACTTAATGAAGTTTAGCCTTCCTGGGACTCTGGACTCAATCCATGTCCTTTCCCCTGGCTATCCGCTTAGGTCTTCCAAGGAGATTCAACCTTAATGATTCTTCTGATATTATGGAGTCTAATCCAAAACACCAGGGGCTACCTCTTAGATTCTTGTAAATATTTCCCCTTAATCTCCTTGCCTCTGTTTTTAGGGCTGGGTGTATCTAACTCTTTGCCAAAGTACTAAGGCAAGACCCAGAGTTAAAATACAGAACAAATAGACCTCTCCCCTCACATCCAAAAATACCAAACAC